CAAAAAAAAAGAAGAAGAAAGAGATAAAAGAGTAATTGTTACAAAATCATTGAGTGTAATAAAATATATATCATTATGTACAACACCAGATAAGCTGGTAAGAACAGCATGGGAAGCACAAGAACAGGGCAGTGGCGAGTATTAGTAGCTGGTATATTAGAACATGACAGTAAATAGCGAGTGTAATAAATGCAACATGCATGAGAATAAAATATTATACATTATTGGTTTTAATTTTTTTAAAAAACAATTGCTGAAACCAGGAAGTTTATCATTTTTTACCAAACCTTGAAGACAATTTCTTCAAAATAGAACCCCAAACACTAAAACAAAACATGTTTTTTAATACACTGACCACACCAAAGTGGGAAAAGGTTGGTTGTTATTGATCAACTCCATAACAAGTTTTATACTGTCGTATGGACTTAATCCAAAAAAAAACAAGCGGACTTGAATCCTTCAAAACAATATAATGCCCAAGAAGATAATTATAGTTCCGAAAGAAGAATGTTACTCTCTTTTCAACGCTGATTTCAAGGCCAGAGAACTACTAATAATTTATAATTTGTCAAAGCCATGATTCAGAATAGACTGAACGAAAGACAGGATAACCCATGCGACAGCATAAAATATTTCATTCTTCTTTACATGGGTTAGCTACGTGCATGGGCAAAAAACCTTCTACAGCCATATTATCACAGTAATAAAACCGACAACATATTAAACAGTGTTTGTCAGACGATGGAGCCTCCGACAGGACTGGTCTGTCTTCTAAGAGAACTTTCAGGCAATGGTGATAAGAAGAAGGATGACATGCTTATCAACAAGCGTAATCCAACACGCACGTACGCACATGTACACACGCACGCACGCACACACACACGCACGCACGCACGCACACACGCACATGACATTAAGGCCAAAAAGCTTTATAGATTGCAACGCTTTATTCATTGTACATGATATTATAAATCAATCAATAAGGGCGACTGCACTATCGATTTTGTTTTATTAATTAATTATAAGCATCGAGTGAAAGAAGTAAAACAAAGACTAAAATTCCAGTCTGCGCGTGGTAATTTGGTAGCTACTGGAACATTAACATATCAAACTATGAACGAATCTGTACAAACTACTGTTTGGTATCTCAGAGCGTTCTGTTGGTACTGTCAGAAACATGGATATACCACTGAATCAAAAGAATAGCTTCAAAATGTATTACTAGTTTCTAATACACATCTAGCCACTTCGATCCTATGCTTTACGCTGATAAAGAGATGCAAGCCTACGGTCAGAAATGCACCTTTGTCTCCACATGAAACAGAGAGGAATGTAGTACATAAAAACGTTGAGGGGATTCCACCGAAGTGCAGGGCGACAAACAAATAAACAAGGATATAATATGACTGTAAATAACATGGACAAATACTTCACAAACCCCAGAAAACACTGGAGAAAAAACAAAACAGGAACAACACGCACGAGGATCACTGAAACGGAAATGCCAATTGGTTTAGTTGCTTCTCTTTCATTTCACAGTGACCAAGCCATCATCGTTCTTCCACTTTACCAAGAGTTTGACACCCAGTGACACAGACACAAGGCACAGACAGACACAGCCATAGACACAGGCAACACACACACACACATAGACACACACACACACACGCGCACACACACACGCACACACACACACGTACACACACACATATAATATTATATATATATATATATAAATCATTTATTATTTTATTTCAAAGACGGTCCCCAAACTGTTGGAATTCGCGGGTCTACTTGTTACTCAACAACCCCATAGTCGACAGATTGGCAGAAGGGACAACTGGCCAAACGTAAAGTAGGGACAGAGAAAAGACGATTCCCTTTACTAGAAACTGCAGAACATATGAACAGTAACCAACCCACTGGCGAGTTGAGAACAAGCCTCCGTAACCTGTAACTTAAATCACATCCTTAAATGTGTATACATTATATTTGTAATCCCCCCAAAACCCGGCGTTTGATTAACTCGAGCTCAAATTTGCACGTATCTGATATGAAAAGAGGTTAATGCCACGTGAAAATCTGATGACAGGGAAAACCAGATGAGCTGGGCAAAAAATTATTGTAATTCAATTCCAAACTTTGCTGCCATCCGTCCATTTAGAAGCAGCAGGTAAACTAGAATTATCCAACATATCCTAAAATCTGCCACGCATTTGGGCGTGAGGAAGATTTCCATGCTGTTCTCATAATAGATATAAATCAGTCAAGAGTATAGAACGTTTTCAGGATTAGTGTGGAATGTGGTAAACGCACGTGGGTTTACATTTCCAATTATGAATCGCTAGAGATTTAAATGAGTAATCTGATAGTTTCTGAGTATGCAGTTTGAACTCAACCGAAACCTTTATGGGTCTTCCGACAAATTGACCTCTAAACATTCTTGTCGACAGAACAGACACAATACAACTATTTTGAGAACTTGTCCTTCATTCAACACAACACTGCTAATAAAAGAAATCGATACACGTGTCGCACCCATTCCCATTTCACACATAGACATTTTTAAAACTTAAAATCTTGTGCACGAACGCTGTCCATGCCGTCACAACTGTTTATCCTTTGGATGTTAGCGGTCTCGTTCTCTCTGATAACCAACACAAAGACTTGTACTAACAGAACTCTTATATTTGGCACACCTTCTACCCGCGTCATTCCAGAAAATTACGGTTCTTCTCTTTGAAATTTAAGAGTAATTACCTGCGAACGATTGAATTCTTTAAAAAATAAGAAATGAAAAAAAAAGTTATGAAAATAAATAGAATAATCAGAAATGAAATTGCCATTCAAGCATTCATTCACCATACACGAACAAAAACGAACGCCCAGATCCTGCAATTATCAGAGTTATTCACGTGCACCCACACAGGTGAGCAGAACGAGACCCAGACAACCAACACACGTACACACGGCGTCCATCTACCCTACAAGACATGCGACCACAGACAGGGGTAGTGCAAACTATCATGCCAGCACATTCCGGGGAGGCCAGACGGGACTCGGCCAGTGAGCTACCATTCAACACATTGGAACACAACAGATTATCCTATCCGGCAGAATATACCACAGGAATAAAGACAATCCCGAAGC